TCTCTTATTTTGAACAAATAAAAATCTTATTTCTGAAGAAGTGAAGCTAGTAAGAATTCTGCAAAAACATTATAAAATTGCCCTAAAGAAAAGCAGTACTGTTATTAGGCCAATACTGCTATAAATGATAAATTAAAAAGGCAACATGAAGAGGCTGAAAAGTAGTGACAGCTAAAATGAGTACATTTTCTCTTTTCTCAGTGTGATATCACAGTGCAGGAATACATGAACCTCAAATCCTTTTGTGAAATTTGTGCTCATTTTAACTGTCACTGCTGCAGGTGATGAACACTCACAACCTGGTGTTTCTTATTTTTTTTAAAAAAAAACACAAGGGATAAGTTCTAGTAACAAGGGATAAGTTCTAGTAAGAGAGGAGTAAATATTCTAATAAATATCATCACATAGCTAATGGGTAGAAATTTCAATATATTTTGGAATTTATTCAAGGCCTGTGAGTTTAAAGTCAGACAGATATTTAATCTCTAAAATTGTGGTTGGAAAAACAAGCATGACATTTTTTGTTTTAGTTGTATTTATTTTGTCAGAATACTTCCAAGGTTTCAATAAACACTGTTTTTCCTCCTTGGGTTTATTTCTCAAGGTCTGCTTTCACTATTCATTTCACTAAAAAATTCTAGATCTAGGTCGAGGAAAAAAAAATGTAAATTTAAGATACAATTTCAAACAACTCAAAATGTAGAACATAATGGATTGAGAATTCTAGTTTGTTTTATCAAGAAGAAAGAGGTCTTTTGCAAAGTTTGAATCTACAATATACGTGAGGCTTTGAATTCTGAAATTAGAGGATATGCAGACTTGACATCTGGTGTGAGATAAGTTTTTGATTTACTTCTTTTTTTGCTTGAATAAGAAAGGATAGAAGTCAATAAACCCACAAAAGAAAAATTCAACTTTTCTTGCACAGACCACTTTTTCAAACCATATTCTGTTATTATAGCTCCTTATGGTAATAGTTTCAACATCTCTTTAAAAAGACTTGAGTTTTAGAAATGTATATACAGAGAAATTGTCTGCTTGTTTCTAAAATTGTCTGTATCCTTTGCACTCTTAATTTTACTCCCCTGGCTCAATGATTCCATCTTTTCTCTCTGAGACTGGAAGTTCCTGTGGTTTGTATCAACTTCTAACATGACATGGAACTTTTTAGAGGAAAGATCTGTCATACTGTGGTTACCTTTTAGTCCCCCTCCATGGTGATGAACACACAACAGAGAGTTATTGTGCAAGTTAGCTTGCAGTAGACACCCTTGCAGTTGACTCTTCCCTGACTTCTATACCATTACTAGACACTGTGCTAATAAAGGTGCTACATTTAATAGTGTTTTTCCATGTATAACAAATGAAAGAGCCTTTGGCAATTGAGCAGCTTGTTTTAGTACTCAATGTCATTTGTCTCCTACAAATGGTGTGCACAAACTGACCTGCGGCACGAATATTCCTTTTGCTCTTACAAAACGTGGTTTGATACAAGCCATAGGCAAATTTCAACACCTTTCCTTTACAGAGGGGCAAGGCAGACTATCCAATAGATGAGAGGACCAATGCTTACAGGAATGTGACCTCTTTACATCTGCAAAGTAGGCAAAAGTAAAATTTTCCATAAGTTAAAAATAAAATAAAACAAAATAAAATAAACCAAAACAAATAAACCATAAACCACCAAAAAAACCCCTTCCCCCCCCCCCCCCCCCCAGGTAATCTGTAACTTTCTATTACTAGGGTTGAAATAACATGAATATTGGCTGTGATGACTGTCACTGCCTTTGCAAGCACTGAGAGGCCGTCGGTGCTGTCATGGCTATATGGCTATAGGACATGGCTGTTTGCCCTGGGCAGTGGAGAGCCTCCAGAAAGGTGCTGTCATGCTGCAGCTACCACTGCTGGCATAGAACGGTTTTCCAGGGGAAGCTGTAGCACACACTATTAAAGGGGAGTAACACTAGTGCATGTTCAATAGCCTCTGCAAGTACCAGAACTGAGTCTTTTCCAGGAGCAGCATTGAAGGGTTAGGGCTACTCATCGCTGCTGCAACTGAAAAGTCCCCTTCCCAACCACAGATTAATTTGTATCTCCATGTAAAACAATGTACAGTTACAGCTGTATCTTTGTTATCAGGATACTTTTTTCTGTGGCTTTTCCTTTGAAAATGTGTTTCTTTTTTAACTCTGATATATGCTATTCTATCTGTAAGTTTTTTCCCTTTTTTTATTCTCTTATTCACTCTCAATGGAAACATGTGGCTGCACAGGCAACAATGTCTGTTTTTCCAGGCTGATTTCATGTGTGATTCCAACTGGCTTCCTTTGATGTTTCAGGTGTTTTACCTTAGATTCTCAGTACCAGCATAAGGCAAAGAGCTAATTCTACCCTGGATTTGGACCTGGCAATTTGGTAATACTGTTCTGTTGGATCTTGTAATTTTGTTCTGGATACAGCATATAACTTAATTATTTTTTCTAAATATTGATTTAGATAATTTCAGGTGAAAGACTGGCATCCTGTAAAAAGTAATGATCATTTCTTTGACTATTCCAGATACCAGGCTCAAAAATCACCAGAAAATTACAAAATGTAAAGAAAAGAAACGGAAATAAATGTTCACCATAAGGAGATTAAATAAACTAAGATAAAACACTATTTACATGTGTCATTGACCAGTACTGAATAAGTTATCTTGTGAAATTAATGCTAAGGTAAATATCGTGTAATGCATAGAGTAACTAGGAATCTTTCTTTTCATTGCCAGAATACTTCTAAAGAAAATCTTGCTTTTTCTCACTTTTGAGTCATAGTGTGTTTACCCCTGCAGAAAAACTCTGAGGAAAAGAGAATTAGTTTCCAATTCCAAACCTTGCAGCAGCAGTAAAAGAGCATCATCAGACTTAGGAGAGCCCTTATTTTATAAAAGAATTTCTTACCTGATTTTTAAACACTGAAAAGGTGGATATATTAGCCTAAATTAGTCACCCTGGCCTCAGTTTTTAGGAATCTATGAAGAGGCACTATATATCAATACATGATGATTCACCACTTCCTTATATAGTCCAGATGAATCATAATTTGGAGGTGTGCATTGCTCTTGATTACTATAGAATAATGTCATGTATTTAGCTCAGTCACAGGCATTTGCCTTTGAGACAGTCAGGTCATAGTGGCTGAATTTCACCTTTTTGTACCTGCTGTCTCCACCTCTTCCACATTTGCTGAGTAGAAATGGAGAGAAGTGGATACGGAGGTGAGCTATCCCACTTCAGCCCATTACCTACAAGTCCAAGAATCTGTTGTAATACTTCAAGCAGATGAGTGAAAGCCAATATCTTGTGTCATATCAAAGGAGAACATGGTTAGTTGTTATCCATGAGATGCAGTTTGTAACTTTTCATTGATTCAGTTTGTGGGTTTAAAGTACATTTTACTACTAAAATTTAGAGTAGTACTAAAATTTAGTAGTACTAAAATGTACTACTAAAATTTGAGTTATTTTAAATACCATTAGTATGTAAAGAAATCAACTTGTTTTGAATGTTTGCTGTGATGTCTAAACTCAAAAAAAATTATGAAAAATGAAAAATGAGTCCATGAATTTGTGTGATACTATGTAGTTGGTGAAAACATACCGAAAACATGAAACAAAAAGACATTAATTTCTAAAGTGTGAATATGTCTTTTTGCAATAAAAACTGCTTAAGAATTTTTACTATTCCTTGCAAATATTTAATAAGAAAGACTTTAAAATGAGTTTAGTATATATTTGCCTGGGCCTGTTCAGTAGCCATGTAATAAAACAAGTGTAGTGTCTGCATAGTAATTGCTTTTTAATTCCCATGCTGCATGCTGTGCCAAACTTTTTTGATTTGCTTTGAGAACATATGGCATTCTATACAATAAAAAGTAAGAATGCAAAACCAGAAGTTTTAATACCGACAAACATTCAACTTACGATGTAAAAACATAGTTTTTTTGTATGTTGTTCATCTGTTTAACTTCAGTTGGACAACATGCTTCCTTGTGCCTCCATTAGGATGTGACTATGGCACTCATTAACGTGCTCTGATTTGAACCTGTACAAATGTCAGCCTTGAATGTCAGCTAATATTGCTGAGACTCTTATTTAGATTTTTTCCAGTGCTGTGACGAGGGTTAAAAATGCTGGACATAAGGTGCTTCTTTGTCCAGGGAAGGCAAAAAGAATTACTTGGGAAAAAGTCGTGAGTCAGTCAGTTGCAGCGGACCAGTGTTGCCTGTATCAAGTAAAGAGGATTACAACTACACAGGTCTTAAGACCAGATTTCATATTGACATATGAATGGATTTTGTAGAAGAGTTGTCTCTGAGGAAAAGGGTTGAATGAATCATTTTTTCACGGGAAGCAAAACACTGTTGTTATTGCAGATACTCTTTTCCAGCTCTCATCATACTGTGATTATAAGAAATTTTCATAGCCATTGCACTTTATTTGTGTTTCAGGGTGGAAAGACAGTCATTTTTAGGTATTCCCTCTGTGGCAATGTCGTTGCCCTGTCCCTGTCTCGATTTTGCTTTGCCATCTCTTTCTCCTCAAATTCCCATCACACTACTATGAGCAGCCCTTGCTATCCACTGCTTCATGTCTAGAGGAGAAGCAGATAAGTCAGTAACATGTTCTTTTCCGGACACCTTCCACTCAAGGAGGAGAGAGCAGCACTGGCTGTGCTGCTTGGAGCTTCTGTGTGAAGCAGGCAAGGACACTGATATGGCAGACAGCAGGCACTTCTACTTCCTTCGGAAAACACTTAAGAAGCCCTAGGTGGTGACTTCAAAGACCGTTTATTCACTGCCCAGAGGAACGAATATTTTGTAATACAAAATGAATCGAATTTCAAAGCCTGTAAAGGTCAAAAGCAGCCTCTGGCCAAACAAGAGGAAGAAGCCATGGGAATTACACGTCTCCATGAGAGGCCACTTTATCACAAACAACCCTTGTGAAGTCACACATGCAAAGATTTAACCACAAACCTCCACAGAGTCTGATGGATGAGAAGTGATCGCTCACCCCTCGGACAGGCAGGGACCAAAAGCACTGAGGTGATGCAGTTTCGCTTTACCTGCTTTTGTTCTTTAGGCTTTAATAAGCGTCACTTTAGGCTTCTTTGGTACTAACCTCTCTTGAAATAGGACTGTGAGCAGCCATTTTCATTGGTGCTTAGGCCAGGTCAGAATCTGCAGGTGTTAAAAACCCTGTGCAGTGATAGTACTCACTCTCCTTAAACAAGTGCAAGAGATGGAGAGTCTGGGAGAACTAACATAAGAACTTGTCACAGTTCAGCAGCCTCCCCTCCAATTATTCCTCTTCGAATTACATCTAATACTCCTATTTTCTGTACGGAACAGTACAGACCTCTGTGATTTTCCAAAGGAATTGAATAAAAAGTACCCTGCTGTCACTGGTTTAAGCTCTTGCCACCTAGAGCAGAACATAATGGGTAAGAATAAGCAAAATCATGTAAACATTCAGAATAAAGGATTAAAGAGGGACTTTGGCTGCCTTATTCAAGACCAATATGGCACTAGTGTGTATCCTAATGTATTCTTTACCTTATCACCAGATTTCTAGCCATTTCACACATTTCAGGGGAAAAATATTCTTTGATGATTTTTTATGTCCTAGGGGTTTTTTGGTACCCTGTTGCCAGAAAAAAAAACCAAACAAATAAAAGCAAGCAAACAAACAAACAAACGAACCCAAACAGACATCACAAGCAGTGGTGCAGGCTTCAGAAGAGAGAGAAAATTGACTCATAAAAATTTTCTTATGTAGCTTGTCTGGGATGAAAGATTTAATTTTAAAGCCTGCTAACTTGCACTTTATCCAATGTTTGCTGCCTTTTGATTCTGTAGTCCCTTGTCTTTAAAAGCAGACTGCCTACTTGTAGTAAGAAGAACTATTGAATCCAGAGCCTACAGACTTAGTTGGAGATTGGGAAGGATGAATTGGTATTCCTGTATTTCTGAGCACTGTAGTTCTGTAGCTGTAGGTCACAGAAGAGGCCATCTCTTTCTCTGAGGTTGCTGCTGTTTGTTGGCAGGTGCTGGAGTCTTTGTCTGTGAGAAATGCAATAGGAACCTCACAAAATTCAACAAGGGTAGATACAAGTCTGCACTTGAGATGAACTAATCCCTTGTGCTGATCCAGGCCAAGGTCTGCCTGACTGGGAAGCAGCCCTCCTGGAAAGGCACGGAAGATGCTGGTAAACGGTGGACTGAAAATGAGAGCCAGGGTGTCTTCTGTCATCAAGGAAGGCCAACGGCACCCTGGTCTGTATTAACAAGGACAAAAGCCATGAGATTCTATCCCTTTTTACTTTGTACTATGTTTACCCACATATACAAAACTGTAGGCAGTTTTAGGCCCCCAGTACAACTGAAACATGGATAATCTGCAGCAAGTTCAGTGGAGGGCCACCAAGATAGACAGGGCTGGATCTCTTGCCTAATGAGGAGGCTAGGAAGCTGGGCTGGTTCAGACCAGAGAAGTGGTGGCTTCAGGGAGCTTGCCAGGGCCTACTGAAAAGAAGGCCATGCTCCTTATAGTCACACGTACTGAGAGGATGAGAGGCAATAACTTGAAAAAAGAGACAGACTTCATGTAAAGAACAATTTCACTGTGAGGACACTCCAGCAGTGGACAAAGAGGGGATTTGTTGTCTTCATCCTTGGAGATTTCCAAGACCAGACTGGATAAACTCTGGAGCAACATGCTCTGACATTCAAGCATGCCCTGCTTTGAGCAGGAGGTCAGATGAGAGGCCTCCTGCTATCCCTTCCAATCTCAGTCATTCTGTGAGTATGTGATTATTACCCAGCAGAGGAGCTACTTGATGCTGGAGTCATTTCACTGGTCAGTAAAAGTAGCATACTTCCCATCCTGCACCCAAAAGACATATCTAAATGGAATTTAAAAATAAGAAAAACACAAAAAGCAAGGAAAAAATCCTGACTTAATCAGTGTATAGCTTTGAAGTTAGTTTGTTGAAGACAGCATCCACCTTCACTTGAAGATAATGGACAAAATAGAGTACAACTGTCATCTGGATCAGGTTAAACTGAGGCAGAATTGTTGCCCTGTCATGACCTTCTATGTGAACAAGATCAGCACCACTACATTTCAGCTCCCACCACATGATGCCTCCAAAGAGAAGAGAGAAGCAGTGCTTTGTAGCTGCCACCTGCGAATCTCTAATTATTGGCAGGTACTTTGCAATGGAGTACTAGAACAGGATAATTGCTGGAGGTAGAATTGGCAAGAGCAGTATATGGGAGACATGTTCAATTGCACATGAGTATGGTAGGTGAACTATAAAAAAAGCAAGCCTGCCATTATCTGTTGAACAGCTGGCAACTCTGGGTCTTCCATTTTGTTTACAGCAGAATGGACAAAAGGCTTGTAGTGTCAGCATTAAAGAGCCTAGGGACTGTATGCCTTGTAAAGGTATGCTGGACGCCTTTATGAGCCATAGCTCAAGCTTTTGTGACAATAACAGTGAGGCATTACAAGTCTATTTGCAAGATTAGGTCTAAATGTCATCCCCAGAGTGCAGTATAAAAACTAATGAATTTTTTTATTCTTTATCATTGAGATCAACATTCTCCGTAAGAATTTGCATTTCTATATGACCCTTGTGTAAGCCAGCTTGCATGGGAGGGGGATCAATTTTGAGATTCATCAGTAGTGTTGTCCATCCTACTCAAATATTCCATTTATACTAAATCTCCCATGTATAACTCTGCAGCCAGCCTTAGAAGGAAAACAAGTACTTGTACGAGAAACACAACTACTACTTTTCGTTGCACAGTGTTTTGCTATGTATTTGTGTCTTACAACTGCTCTGCCTCACAGATTCCTCAATATCTACCTTGAGAAGTGAGTTTACACTGCAGTCTTCCACTCATTGGGAGCACTAGCTGGGCTTTTCAACCAGATATTTTAACAGACTTTGGCTTCAAGTCACAGGCATCTTTATACCTCAGCACTTTTTTTGGTTTCCAACAGGTATGTTCATCAGTTTGAATACTCAAAATTATTACTTGAGAATGTTATTAGTTGGGCAGAGGTGCAAGCACCTATAGATTGCGGACGTAATCCACCAGGACACGAAAGTAAGAGAGAGATTGAAAAAGTACTATAAGGATTAAAAACATCTTGCCATGTCATCAAATCCAAGATTCAGAGCCTTCCCCCCAAAAAAACATTGCTAGACATTCGAGATTCAAATCTCACTCTTAGACCTTCTCCATGCTCTTGTTTTAGCAGTGAGGATATTCCTTATAGAAGGATGTTATGAAAGGAAAGGATGCTCTCCTCTAGCTTGCCTTCTCATGTCAAGAATGTCTGATATGGAATTGGGAGAAGATGGGCATGCCAAATGGGGGGATGCTGGAACCATTCTGTGAAAAGAAGGAGCCAGGAGAGAAGGCGCAGTCCAGCTGTGGGACCTAAACAGCAGGTTGCAGTCATGCAGGAACATTTCCTTCATTCTAGATTCATCATGCATTCATTTCTAGAAAATCGAGCCCTTATCTAAAAAGTCCACTTCTAATATTGTTAGTCTTTTTTGTCACTTTTGTCTCAAGTAGTGCAATTACCTACCAAAGCAGCAAACTTCTCCTGTACTACTGGGAAAAGCAAACATTTCCTCATCCCATTAATACAGCACATGAAGTGAAAACCTTTTTATAAATTCCATTTAGGGTCTTATACTAGCCAAATTTACAGACTTTTCACAGAGGTATGCAGAAAGTCCTGACCCACCAGTTTTTGTGGGTATTTTCTATTGACTACATATTTTCTGACTTGAATTTGCTTTGGATACAGAGATCATCCTTTTAGAGGAAGTCAGAAATGTCTACAGGTCTGCCATCCATTTCTGTATAAAGACTCAGAGAAAAGTCAACCTAAACAGAGTGTCCAAATCTAACAGTTTTCCTGATTAACTCGTATTATCCAACATGCTGCATTTTGCGAGGGGGAAAAATTCTCAAAGATGGGAGAGAGAAAAACTGAAACAAACAAAAAAATCACACTTTGAAATCCATCCTTTTGGCAGCTATCCCTTTCTCGTTTTGGCAGACAGAGAATTGCTGGCAGGACTGGTGAGGGAAGGGTAAAAGACAAATGGTTCATGATGAATCCTTTAACTAAGCTGATATTTCAACACAGTGCCTGCCAGCATTTTTCTTTGGCATATGCTTTATAGAACATACATGACAAGCACTTCAGCAATGTTAATATATTGGCATTACCTGGTTTATTTTTCATCTCCCTCTGAATCAGACCCCAGACTTTCAGGAGACTATCACATAGAAGTCTTCTTTTTTTCCCCTAGCATTTATTTCTCTGTGTGTAAAAATGAAACTAAAACTATGCTATCATGATTTAAAAAATCCAACAAACTAGCCTTTTAAAATTAGTATATTAATTATCACTGTACTATCTTTTGGAATAATGTACTACCAGCTTTCAGGAATAAGGTGTATTAAACAGCTCCGCTCTTTGGGTGAATCACTTCCAGTAAAATAAAATTAAATAAGATAACTAATTTTTTAGAATCTAAAATAAAAATATAGATATGAAGCTAATTATTGGGTTTTATTATGCTTTTTGTACTGAGGAAAACAAAATATCTCAAACTCTGCGAGGAAAAAGAAAAACAAACAAAAAATCAATCTGGAAACTTTATTTGATTTTCATTACAGTTAATGGCAAAATTTGCATTGCCTTGCACTACACACTACATACATGGAAATTCACTAAATCTGTAAATTTGAATAAAAAAAATAACATAGCTACTCCAATGTATTGAAGAAGAGAATTAGATTAATTTTTTTGTTCATTCATTCATTTCTTCTTTTTTTATTTATGGTTTCATTCTTGCTTGCTAATTACTTAATTAATTATCTTTTTAACAAATTTCCCTTTGTTTTCCTAAAGTTCCCACAGGTGACCTTCCCCACATTTACCTCTTTTGCAGAAGACACTGCAGTTTCAAGGAGCCAGCCCATGAGGACTTACCATTCACTAAATATTGTGTCTGCATGATGAAGTATGTATGAACACAGCTGATGGTCAAGAAGATTTTTTCTGACATTTTTAAATTAAGCTGTTAATGCTTAGTTGTATAAATTCCTTATAAATGTATCTTGCTCCAATATAGCATGACACTGTAAAAATCACTGGTGAGGTAGTAAGTGGAGGAAATGCCGTAAGATACATGCAATACAGTGTACTATTTTCTGGTCAGAATTTAATTAGTTCTCCTCCTTTCTAACAGCCTACCTTCATTTCTCACCCCTGCTAACAGAAGATTAAAAATGTAAAAGAAATACTGCAAACTTTACCCTCTGAAATACTATAATGAATTCAGGCTTTATTGCAGGAAATATCGTTTGTTTGTAAGAAGAGACAAAAAAAAAAATTATAGGTTTGGATTTTTTTTTCCTTATTTGAATTGATTCTAATGTTAGGAATTATTAATAGAAGGAAACTGAAATGTGAGTACCTAAAAAGGCAATACGGAAGAACTCAACAAGCTATGGAAAGCATGAATAACAAACCATATATTTTTCCTGCGGTGACAGGGCACTGCATAAAAACACCAGGGGATGGATGCAAACAATGTGCTGGTGAGAGTGACAATAAAACAGAGATGACAGCATAAAGAGAGAATGATGAATGTGTTAACACAGGTAAGAGAGTTGGCTAAAAGATCACGGAATAGTAGAAAATTCACTCTAAGCAGATCTTGAATAGTCTAACAGGAAATAGTGTTATTGTTAGATGTGGATTTGATAGAGAATGTGGTGACAACAGAGAGCGAGAAAATCTTTGAGTTTATATGGAGAGATTTATATTTATGCTTCTGGGTACACATTTATAGATATTTATACTAAATATATATTTTGATATCCCTGCAATAAATTTCTATAACCATATGATAAACTGTATTTATTATAGTTAACACCCTTTGCCTGCCTTACCTGTGCTACTTTCCATTTTCTTTTCAGCTGGTGATTTCTCTAAGCAGCTCAGAACTGCTGTCAGAATTGTTGAAACCTGCCAGAATTTTTTTTCTTCTTTTCTTCCCAAACACCTCCAGAGACTGAGAATTCTCCTCCTCTGCTGCATTCTGCTTTGTATCTATCTCGAATTACTCTATTTTGTATTAGTTTAGATTTAAAGGTCCAATTTCTCTTATCTATCAAGGATGAGAAAAACAGAGGAATTGAGGCTGTTATTATATGAAAAACTGGCATTAATGTAACAGACTGATTTATTAAAAATGGTGTTGCTAAACAGTTGAAAGATGCTAGTCTATAAGAGAAAGTTACAATTTTTTTTGTTTAAATCTTGATTTTCATTTCAAAAGATTAATAACAATAAATCTATTGAAGTTACACAGTTTTTAATAATGGCTACCTGCCCAGGATTAGTCTCTAAAACTGTTGTTTTTCAACAGTTGAACCAGCAAAGATGAAAAACCAATTGACTATAGTAGGTTTTATATTGGGCCCTTAGATGTAAACAGGTCTACGTAATTTTATTCTATTGCTTGTTAGCACTCTCATGTTTCACCTCTTATGGTTGCTCAATGAGTGGTTCTTTTAAAAACCTTTCTCTTTATGTCATTATTTTCCACAGAGTAATATTAGAAATGTAGAGATCCCTGATTACCTTTTTCAAAATACATGTCATGTACTTGAAGTATTTGTTTGATATTGAATGGAACACAGCAGCACTACTTAGAAATCCTGGAGAAGAACTGAAGGACACCAATTTCTTCTGATGCTATAAGTAGCTTTTAGAGAGATTACTCAAAGAGGAAGAAAAAATTACCAAACTAAACCCTATGGCAGATGCCTACGCACAAATTAGGCAAAACTTGCTGTGACAGTTTTCATTCAGGATTGCTGAATGATTTTCAGGGTTGTAGAGTTATGTTTTATGTTTTCCCTCACAAACAACATTTTTAATATTGTAGGTCAAAGTGTCACCGGTCAGTGGCATTTGTTTGTTAGCAGTGATTCAGTAGACAAACTCGGCTTGATGAGTCATTAGTGAGGGATATCATATTTACACAAAATCGCTTGGCTGAAACCATCAGTCCGAGAGATTAAAACTAGGCATTAATCACCTGTAAGGCTAGGCATGAGCCTGAAAAATAGCCTGAAAAACACTAGAATTTGTGTATTACAGCATGAATGGAGGTTTCAGAATACTAGTCATGAAGGATTACTCTACACAGGAAAATGTTTGTCTTGGAGACTTTTTTATTGACCTGTGATATGCTTTTGGTTTGAAAGACATGTTAAACAAAGAAAGCTCCAGTCTTTCAAAACTCTCACAGCTCTATAAATAACTCCACATAAAATGTACAGTATGTATAAACAGCATGACAAAGATTTTCTGACAGGATTTTCTCTATGGTAAAAAAGTGAAGTCAAAACATCCCATTGAAGGCTGCTATTTTGAAGAATTCCTGAGAACACAAGTGCTTACGAGCTGGCAAACTCTCCATGAGTGAGAGTGAGTACAAACAATGAACTTCTATGAGACTGTAGCCATTCCATCAAGATCTAAATGCAGCTTGAATGGACCTTAGCCAAGAAGCGTCTGCTCAGCATTTAGTAAAGCTTCAGCTAAGGGAACCACAGAAAAAAATCCAAACTGTTCCCGCAGTAAAACTATCTGCCAGCAGCATTTTTGAGAGTTTACCATCTGGGTCCTGCAGCTATCAATCAGACTCAATGTGTCACTCCAGCTGTCCTTCAAGGCTCCTCATGGTCAAGGTAGAGCAGTTTTGAGAAAATAAAACACAAAAACTGAGAGAGCACAAACAGCTGTTGAAATCTTGAATAAGTCAGGGGGCAAAAAACTCACAAATATTAAAAGACACTCAATTGCTTCATTACAGCATTCAGATTGACCACTTGCATCTCTGAAATTACCCATTTTCCATACTACATATTAATGTTTTCTTTTAGCATTCTGTTTTAGTGGATTTGGGGTTGTTTTATAAATGCATGCACAAGTCCCTTTTGCTTTTGTGGGAAATTAATCCACAAAAACCAGGTCTTTAAGTTTATTTTCTACAGGTTAATGTGTAAGAGCTCTAGATTGGTTCTTACTGTCACTAGTAGTGGAGATTTTGACTGGAGGTAAACTCTGAAAGAGTCTGCCATTGTGAATCTCCCACCTGACTGAAAATTAAGGTCTTTAAAATATGTGTGCATGGTTGGAAAGATTCCTTTGGAAATGGAAATAAGTAGTAGCTTGTACAGGAAATGAGACAGGAAAGTTGATATGTGGTAGGAATTTCAGAAGAGGTGGGAACAGTTATTGAATTGGCAGTTTAATATCTATAAGCAAACAAAAATAGAGGGAAGGCAGAACTAGAGAGGCAAGAAGCTGATGGTTGAAATAGCAAATTTAACATTCTGAGTTGAGTGTATTCAAATGTAGACAGTCAGAGATAGAAGCCAGAACCATAAGTAGGGCTTTGAAAATTTAGGGAGAAAAAAAGTTACTTGATTTAGTAAACTTGGGAAACCAGATAAAAATTTCAGCAACAGAAGTGGAAAGCTGAACAGGCAAGGAAATTAATGGATTTCTGCTGCATTTTTCACACAGAATTACAGGGGAATAAAGCAGTTTTTCCGTCCAAATATGGTTGATTGCTTTCTCTATCTGTGTTACCTTGCAAAAGACCTCCAATATTTCTTACACACTTTTAGGATGTTTCAAATGCCTGTGTGGTGAAGACACTTTTGTTTGATTTCTTATTTGTTTGTTTTTAAATAGTTGGCTTTGCTTTATCAATGGTTTTAATAAAACGTACGTATTGGCATCCAGGGTTTGTTTTAATGTACAATTTAGATGCAATCATCTCTGTATGATGGCTTTACTTAATGTCCAACTATAAATAATCTTGGCCTGGAGCAGATAAAAAGTGTTCTGTAGAAATAAAAATAAAATAATGAGTATTATTTATTTTTTTAATTTTCCTTTTTAGTGTTTAGAGAGATTTATTGTACTACAACAATTCAATACTCTATTTTTACAAAGCTGAGCTGCAGATGGTAGAAACTGTGTGCAATAGTTCAACATTTTCTATTCCAGGTGTTTAAACAAATGTTTCTGTTTCAGGATTTTACAGTAAAAGAATGGTACTCACATAATCACTGGACCATTTGGCTTGGAAGGGACCTCATGGTATCATTTAGTCTAACTCTGGTGCACAGGACTGTGCCATTTTTTTGCTGTTGTTCCACATATTGCAAAACAAACTAAGGGATGCCCAGATACTTCAGAAGATCTAGACTGAGGAGGAGAATGAGAAATGGCAAAAGAGAAATGTAGAAGAGTGCCCAGTGACCTGTTGTTGCAGGCAACTGCGTCTCCTAGGCTGTCATAGGATTTCTTTTGCAAACTTTCACAAAACCTTCAGAAGTCTGGGCACACTGAGGAGATCAGATTGTGTCTCATGCCAAATGAGATTCTTATAGGTGAGGTTTCTAGGCGTTTACCTGAGTTTGCAAGGAAAAGCTAAAGAGAAACACGAGAAGTTACAATTTTAATTACTTTTTTAGTAAAATAGAGTAAAACAACTGAAGTGCATATGGCTTTAAAAAAATAAATAAACCTTTGGATTTAAATACACTTCCAAAAGCGTTATCATCACTCAGACTTGTCAGAAAAAGAATATACTGCAAAAACTCACATGACATTCATGAAGCTGTGATTTAGTCTATCATCATTGTTAACTGGTTTCTCACCTGGGTACTTACTGGAGAGCAGAGGGATTCAATATCATTTAAAAGACAGTTTAGAACAGCAATAACTTTTGCACACACATCATTAAGCATTGGCCAAGAGAGTTTGTAATGTCCTTCCTACATCTGTGTATTTTTTAGAATAAAAGTGGAAAATGCTTTTGGCAAAAACAAGCAATAAAAAACCTCCCTCACTATATAGCAAATAAACAGAAAAGGCTCTTTACGTAAAGAGCTGTACAAGCACTTTACAGGAGGAGGCATACCTACTACTGCATTTCAACTAAGTAGCATAGCTTTTGCCCGCTACAAGGCTTGCATGACTCGTGCTTCGACATCACAAATATTGACATCCTGATCAAAGTAATTGGACTGTATTCTGCCCAGTTGTGGCTGTTATCAGAGAGCAGAGCCTACTTCTCATTGATTACTGCTGATTTCATGCCAATATGAAGGCATGACAGAAATAATGACAATGCAGCGTATTTTTATTTTGAAAAGAACAATCTGTTCGCTCTTGTTCCCTCTGGGATGGAATAGCAAGCAGTGCATCCAAATATAGAGGAGAAGATGACACTAAATGAATTTACGTGTTAAATGGCATTTTATTTTGTCAGATTCCTCCATAAGTCATTAACTATTGTGTTCTCCCTCACAGTTAATAACTTGGTCCCTGTAAAGAAATTACACTCCTATTCTGTGAAGGAAAATGAAGGCTGAGTTACACATATATTAAAAAATTGCCTGAAATATTTATTTTCCATATTCTATATAAGCCATACACAGCACTGACATTTGTCTTACACAAGAATGCAGAAGTTAGAAGAGTTACTGTAGTTAAATCCCAAATCAGAGCTAATTCTTTAAAATACTACTCTTTCCTTCTAGTTTAATTA